ATCAATTGATTCATCCTCAAAATAAACAAAAGAATCAAATCTTCCATTAAATTAGGAGATTTTTAATGCATATATGTATCCTCAAAATAAACGTAAGAATCAAATCTTTTATTAAATTAGAAGATTTTTAATTCATACATAGAATCTGGAAAAAAAAATCAGTTTCCAAAAATAAATCGCATGAATTAAGGGAGGACACAAATGTCAAAGAAAAATTTGAAAATTTCAAATTATGTACTTGAACACAATTAAAAACTAAAATTAAGGACTTCCTTACTTTACATTTTTTTATGTGAACGTTTTTATAATTAAATCCAATTTAGTGTATCCCTTTCCAATCTACCGTAGAATTTTTAATACTTTAGTTGAGTCTGGGTAAAAAACCCCCAACCCAAATTGAATTCAGGCAAGTCTCAGATTGAGGCCTCAACCGGAATATTAAAATCGGGTTGAACTTGAATATACATAAATATATAAATATAGTTAATTAGAGTTAATATTAATCTTCCCTCTTTAGAATCTAGACTTTCACTTCATCTCAAGTCTTCATCCTTATGCCTCCATTACTCTCAGATACCTCTCTCACTCATCACTTGTCTCTAATATAGTTTTAGACTCTCAGCCTCCCTCTCTCCCTCATTTAAGTCGTGTTTCAGACTCTCGACCTCCGTCTCTCACTTGTTACTCCTCCCTCTTTTATCAACTTGAATTAAGTAATCCGAGTCCAACCCGATTTTTAACCTGAATTCAACTTGAATCTATTTGAATTAAACTCGAGTAGTACTTGAGTTGAGGTAGGTTTAAGGTTCGGTTAGAGTTAAGGTTAGGGATGACAATGGAACGGAAAAAAACGGGTATTCGTCCAAACCCGTCCCGTTTGGACTGGTGATAGACTATACGTATTGGACGGTAGACGTATATGAGAATACCCGTAAAAACCTATAGGGGAAGGAAGGCGGGGATGAACTTATCTTTATATATATATATATATATACTCCAAAGCCGTAATTAAACATATTTACTGTAACTATAAATCTAGAAATATCATAATCAAACTGGCATTACTATGTGGTAATCTTATCAACTTTTTTCCCTGATTATTCTTTTTTCTATGTGTGCTCACTGATTAAAACTGTTAGGAGTTTAGACTGATCATGCTCTAAAAACAGATAAGAGAAAGTAAAATAGTTTTGCATTTTATCGTGGGTAGAATTATTAAATTAGCAAAATTTAAATTTTTTATCTTTTAACACTTTATGGCTGTAGTATGAATTGTAATAACAAAAATTCTTCTAGAAAACTTCAAATATAGTGTTATTGTTTTCTTAGTTCAATTTTATTTTCCTTTCTCTCTAATAGTTCTGTTTTTCTTTTTGTGGTCCAATGACACTTTAAATAGAATACTATATTATTTTGACTTTTACATTTTGTAATCTACATTATGTTGTGTTAGATTATTTAGAATGTTGTTGGATTATTTAAAACATTAGATTTATTTAAAATTTGGGATTATGCTACTTAGAATTAGGTTTAGGTAGGTATGGGGGAAGTGGGGACGCGGACAGGGACTAGAAATTTACTCGCGGACAAGAATGGGGATGAAAACTATACCCGTTAGCAGAGGTAAACCAAGAATGGACGAAATTTTTTTAAGCGGATATGGGGATGAAGACTACACTCTCCGCCCCCACTTCGGTCTACTGACATCCCTAGTTAGGGTTAAAGATTATATACCTAGAATTGGGTTAGAGTTGACCTCTCAACCCGCTCAATCCATCCGAGTTGCACCCCTAATACAAACGCATGTACACAAAATAATTTTTGATAAGGACAAAAATATATATATTATATGTTTGTATCATGTTTTACCATATCCTTGAACTTTGTTTCCATCTTATTTATATTTTCTGCCAAATGATTTCTCTATAAAGGCTATGGTGTTTGACTATTTTCTTTGGTTTTGGAGTGAAATTTGAACCTCGTAAAATACCAGATAAGTTGATACCTAAATAGCCTTTTAAATACTAAACATAATGAAATAATCAAAAAATTCTTGTCTACAAAACTTCTATCTTTCAAACACACATTTCGGCTTCACGGTACATAAGGTTTAGGACCACTTGTTTTGGTAAAATATAAACAAAGAAAAATTTCATAATTTATTTTTGTAGTCTATATCTGAATTCGTTAATGTAACACCTCAATCCATTTAACAATATTTAGAGTACTAATGACTTCAATAACGAATAAACTAAATGTTCATTAAATATCAAAATTACTAAAACACCTCTAAAATAAATAAAAAATCTCTCGATAACTGTTCAAATTACAACTAGTCAAAATTTTTCATTCATTGATCAACCCAATTCTTCACCAATTTTTACTCTAAATTCAACCTGCAACTGAGAGGGTAAATGGGGGTGAGTTGAAAAAAGCTCGGTAAGTAATTTAAAACATAATATACGAAGTCAAGATTTTTTTTTCTTCCTTTATCTTTTTTTTTTGTTTTTTCTTCCACCTCCTTGCTACGGTTTGAACTCAATGGACTGATATTATCAACAAAAGAACCTTGGGCTCCAAGACTTATGCATGTTTGGTGACATGTGTCGCCTTCCATGGTGAACACATGTCGCTACATGCTTTAATTCTATTTTTTTTATCTTATTCTCTTACCTTACTCGATAAAATTTCGATCTCAATAAAATTTTAAAATAAGCAAATCTTTCATAATTAATTTTAACATATCATTTAACCTCAAATCACGTTCACATAGTTTTCAACAATATCATGAGACCCATAAAAAAAATTAATTATTCAATCACTTTCAAGTCGAGATTCAATCGTCACAATCCTCCCACCTTAAGACATTTCGTCCTCAAAATTTAAAAGTGATAATTTTTTTTTTTTGGCCAGCTTTGATGGATCACCTTCCTTAAATTATCTATGCAACCAAAATCAACTAATTCATTACCCACATGTCATCATCCTAAGTAATTAAACATAAGACGGTCTATAGAATCTTATGCCTAAAGTTCTGATACCAAAATTTGTAATACCCCAATCCATTTAGTAATATTCAGAGTACTAATAACCTCAATAACGAATAAACTAAATGTTCATTAAATATCAAAATTACTAAAATACCTCGAAAATGAATAAAGAATCTCTCGATAATTGTACAAATTACAACCAGTTCAAATTACAACTAGTCAAAATTTTTCATTCATTGATAAACCTGATTCTCCGCCGATTTTTACTCCAAATTCAACCTGCAACTGGGAGGGTAAATGGGGATGAGCTGGAGAAAACTCAATAAGTAATTTAAAACATAATATATGAAGTCAAAGGACAAGACGATAATTTATCAACTAACCAATAATCATTCGATGACAAAAGAATTAATACGATAATTTACAGAGTACAAATATATTGAACAAGTCAACGATCTCGAACGTTTGAACAAATTAAATCAACCATGATTGACCGTCAATCCCGACAACAAGCTAGGCATCATTCGGTGCATTTTAATTCAATCATATCCACCCCTCAGGGCCACGAACACAAATCACAATCATAACCACGCTACCGAGTATACCTCATTCACGAGTCGAAAAAATCTCAAGTATTTCACCAAAGCAAACATCATAGCGATTAATGACAAGTCAAACAAAATATCAACAATTGAACGAAATATTATTTAGAAACTCAAACTCAAACGATGTCACAATTTGAATACGAATAGGATGATATCAATAAAGTATTTTTTACAAAGAGATTAAAAGAATGCATATTATGTATAAACCACTTACCAAATTCATAGTAGACAACAATATCTAACACCCGTGAATATCATACTTGAACTTCCATTCGAGCGAATCGGATTCAATTCCCTTGTAAAACTCTGTTCGGATCTCTTTCTCTTTTGTCTTGGCCAGCAACTTCTCATTTTCAAAATTTCCATTTTTTTTTCCTCAAGTTTCTATGCACTTGCTCTTTCCAAAGCACACAGAATATTTGCTCTAACATTCTCTCTACAAGACAGCACACACACTTTCGTTACATGAGTCATAACCTCCACCTCACCATTCTTATCTTCCGATTTTTTTTTCTTCCTTTATCTACTTTTTTTTTTCTTCCACCTCCTTGCTACGGTTTGAACACAATGGACTGATTTTATCAACAAAGGAACCTTGGGCTCCAAGACTTATGCATGTTTGGTGACATGTGTCGCCTTCCATGGTGAACACATGTCACTACATGCTTTAATTCTATTTTTTTTTTTATTTTATTCTCTTACCTTACTCGATCAAATTTCGATCTCAATAAAATTTTAAAATAAACAAATCTTTCATAATTAATTTTAACATATAATTTGACCTCAAATCACGTTCACATAGTTTTCAACAATATCACGAGACCCATAAAAAAAATTTAATTATTCAATCACTTTCTAGTCGAAAATCGATCGTCACAGTTAACAATTTAAAATTTAATACAAAAATTTGATTTGATCTGAAAAATTTAATTAACCAAATTTTAACAAATTATTTCTAAATTTTAAGTATTTTTTAAAATTTATTTTTTTAATATTTATATAGAAATATTTAAATAATTCGAATCGGATATAATTATATTCACATCCAAATTCATAAAATATAATATATTGTATTCGAATTCGAATTATCGATAAAAAAAAATATTAATTTATACCCACTTAATCAAATTCAATTTTAAATTCGAATTGAAATTGAATGAGAATTCGACCAATTTGCATTTGGAGTGTAATTTATCATCGGTTAAGAATCAGAAAAAGTATAGGGAGATTTACATTAGGCACCCCCAAAGGTTTTAAATTCTCAATTCATACCCCAAAAGATTAGAACTTTCATATTGCACACAAATATTTCACGGTGCGAGTAACAGCCACCAAGTATTAGTACTCGCGGTTAGTTAGCAACACTAGAAGGGGGGAAAACCGAGAAAAATAGCAGCAACGAAGAATGAGCAGAAGCGGCAACAGGAAGATGACGACCGAAAACGACGAGGTTTCAGAGCTGCTGCGAGCTGCGGAGGATGAAATGCTCCTCAAGCTCAGCGTCGATTCCCACATGTCGCGTGGTTCTTCGAGTCATATAATCGACCCGGATCTCGATCGTCGCTTCCTTGCCCTCAAATCCAAGCCAAAACCATCGAAGATCAAGCCATCAACAAATCCATCAGCAGTTCCTCTACGAAACCCACCACCAGAATTGCCGACAGGTTCGATGAGAGAGAGTGGTGATCATGAGGAGACGAAGGTTGATGATGATGATCTGTTAGCTAGATTTTCTGCTCTCAAGGGCTCGATTCCTTCTTATTTATCATCTTCTGTCGCTTTCAACGATAGTCAGCGGCAATCGAAAGGTGAGGAGAAGGAGGAGGAGAACAGTGATACCGATGAGGTTGAGAAGGTGATTAAGTGGGCTATTGATGCTGCTCGACTTGATCCTTCTCCTCCTTCCGATAATTCTGATAATGATGATAGCGACGATGACGACGACGACGACGACGACGATGACGATGATGGGTGGTAGATGGGAAAAAGAAGGGTCAACGGAAATGATTTGTAATACGATTACGTAAAATCAACAGGCAAATCTGCAATTAACTGGTACATAATTTGGGTATTTGTTATTATTGTTAAATTTTTATTGTCATACATGATTGAGAATCAGTCTAGTTCAT